CTTACCACACCCTGCACTGACCTGGAGATACTATTCCACACCCAGTCTTTCATTGAACAACCCATCATGGCTGACATGCATGTGCTGACGTCATGGACCCTGTGTATGTATGTATGTGTGTGCACGTTGGCATGGCTGTCAGTACTAGAGCTTCAACTCATGGCCTCATGCTCTTATTTTCACTTTTTGCCTCAAGCCTGGATCTCTACCACTTGAATCACATCTCCACTTCTAAACTCTTCCTGCATTGATTGGAAATAAAGAGTCTTACAGGCTTTTCTCCCCAGATTGGTTTTGAACCATGATCCTCAGATCTCAGCCTCCTGAGTAAGTTGGGATTACAGTCGAGGGCCACCAGTATCTGAATATCATAGTTACTTTTGACAGGAAATAGTTCTTTCAGGTTTGGGTGACATTTTGTTCACAGGTAGTTTCCAAGGAGACTTATCCTTCAGAGAGAAATTTCTAGATCATATGTGTTCACAGGCTGAGATGACTCCTGATTTTCTTATGTGCACCAGTCCTGGGGTTTGAACTCAGGGCCTGGACTCTGTTCCTGAGTTTCTTTTGCTCAAGGCTAGTGCTCTATCACTTGAACCACAGCTTCACTTCCAGCTTTTTTTTTTTTTTTTTTGGTGGTGGTTTAGTGGAGATAACAATCTCATAGGCTTTCCTGCTCAGGCTGGCTTTGAACCCAGATCCCAGATCTCAGTCTCCTGGGTAGCTAGGATTACGGGTGTGAGCCACTGACGTCTAGTTTGTCCCTTGGTATTTGATAAGGCCTCAGTAAAATTTAAAGCCTTTTAAAAAATTATTTAAAGCCCCTCTTAATTCTAGGTAAGGAAACTCCGTCAGCTTCAAAGGTCAGGGCTTATTTAAGAACTGGATTGTCTTCCCAAGTCAGGAATCATGTCTAGAAATCCAGCCCCTGAGGACTCTGCAGAAGTTCTGCAGTTGATTAAGGAATCCACGGAGCTGCCAAGGGGGCCAGCTATTAGGTAATTACTGATTGCCCCGAGAGCAAAAAGTCCCCTCTGGAGACAACCACCGTACCTCATTGCTCAGCCTGGGGGTGGTGGGGGGAGGGCTATTAAGCAAGCCCTGAGAATGAAGCCAGGAAATGGCCGCTCTAAAAAAGTAAGGCTTGCAGACTCCGTTGGCCAGGTGCTATGTCAAACTCTTAACTTCACTTGAGGTAACCTGTCCAAAGGTAAAAAGGATTGAGGATTTCTGACCAGCAAGTCCTTCCCACTGGGCCCCGGATCTGAGCGAAGGGCCATGCGAATAGGCCAGAGGTGACATTCTTCCTTGTAGCCGGCTGGGAACCTGCCTGACTTCCATACAGGAAGCTCCTGCTGGAAACGCGCCGGATGACTGAACAGCTTGTTGATAGTCTAGGCGGGAGGAGGAGATGCCTGCCCCTTGCAGGAAGTCTCGAACCTTCCCATAGTCTTCGACAGCCATGAAACTAGAGCCTGAGTGGGAACTGAACCTGATCTCAATTGGACAGAGTGCCATCTGCCTTTGGGTGTCCCTGAGAGGGTCCCCAGAAAGTGAGGAGGAGCCAGCCCCACCGAAGCCCGGGGCCATGTGCAGCCCTCCCTCTTCCTCCACTACTTCCTGTGCTTGTCCTAGAACCAGGGTTCCTAACAAGAAAGGCGTTCCCCTCCTTAAATGCGGCCAGACAGGGCTACCAGGTGCCAGGAGCGGGTACGGGGCAGCATCTGGAGCCCACATGCCCATTCCCGCCCATGCCCACAGCCTGGGTGCAGATGCTCATGGAGGCCAACAGAACAATGGGTGGTCATGAGGGCTGTGTTGGCCCTGTCTGGCTGGTGGAGGCTGGTCCTCTCCCCCTTCGGGGCCTGGTTAGGAGCTGGGAACCCCGCCAACCCTGTGTGCAGGCGCTGGCCACCCTGTGCTTCTGGAGCTCGGCCATTCTCCCACCTGCTTGTCTTTGCCCAGGGAGGCCCAGTGGTTTCAGAGCGTGGCCCCTGGGCCTGAACTGCCTGAGTCCCACAGATGCCACCTCAGCCGCATGGCTGGCTCTCTCTGTTCCCACCAGGAAGACCAGATTCGAGCTCGCCCAGGTGGCCTGCCAGGTGAAGACGAAGTGAAATGATCCGTGTAATGCCCTGGGCACTGTGCCTGGCCTACCATGTGTCTAAGCAATGATTATGTTAGGTCTGCAGCCTAGATGGGGCGAGTGTGGTATGCCAGCCCCTTCCTTGAAGGGGACCACACTGGGGTGAGGTAAAAAGGGACAGTAGCCGGGTGCCGGTGGCTCACACCTGTCATCTTAGCTACTCAAGAGGCTGCGAATCTGAGGAATATGGTTCAAAGCCAGCCTGGACATGAAAGGCCGTGAGACTCTTCGCTCCAATTAAGCATCAAAAGGCAAGAAGTAGAGATGTGCTGTAAG